CACTACTTCTCAGGGCTTCCCCGTCTACCACCCGGCATCCAAGAAGGTCCAGCCCCTGGCAGAGGGGCTCGGCCCCGACAGTCAGTGCAATGGGCAGGATTGGAGAAGGAACCTGCCCTGACAGTTGGGGTAGTCATTAGCAGAATCCAGGAGAACATACGGACTTCGAGCAGCAGTGCCCTGTGCTGCTCTGCCGACCAGCTGCTAAGTTTCACAATTTGTTGGCTGATCGCTTAATGTTTTCAACTATGCCCTGATGTAAGTTGCTCTGCACATAAATCCGACCTAACACAGGCTCCTTTGAAGCAACCGTTTAGGAGCTCAGTGTTTAATATTTGTTCTTATTCCAGGGAGACTTCCCTCCGCTGTCTTGATTTCTGGTTTTCTCTTGAAAAAACTAGCCAATGTACAATTTAGCCAATTTACAAGTTAGCCCATGTTTTGAACCTCTTCCCATTGCTTATCACCACAACCTCCAGGTTTTTGCAGAGCCACCTGGGGCTTGAATTTCTCCATGTTCTGTTGCAAATGAAGTCAGTTCATTTGGGAATTGTTTAAGACATATCTGTTTTATGGACTGCTTCTCCCCCAGGCACAATCGCTGAGCCTTGGCATTGGAGCAGGCAAAGTCAGCCTCCCTGGTCTAGGGGCTGAACTCTAGGTGGAGGAGGAGGCAGCAGCCTGAGGTCCTCTGGTTTGATCTCTACTGGCTTGGACCTCACTTTACAAGCTGGGGTAAGGGTAACTAGGATCCCAGTATTCACAACACTTCATCCCCAAGGAGAGCTTAGATACCAATGTGAGAACATCCAAACCTGTGGAGACTTCGTATACAAAGTCAAACAGAGCATACAGCTGGAAGCAAGATCCGAAAAAATGCTTTGAAGGACAGCAGATTGCAGTTCCTTTTATGCATTTGAGATTGAAGAGGGGAGTAAGGAAGATTACCTAACGGCAGGAGAGAACAAGGTCAGGGCAGAATTACAGGACACTCACAATAATTCGGTGAAGGCCTGGGATGGGGCGGGAGCCAGGTGGAGGGGGGCACTGGAGGAAAATTAAAGGGGGTTTTCTGTAATACTCTCAGCAACAGAGAGGAAAACAAAACAAAACAAAACAAACCTCCCTCAAAAACCAAAAAAGACTATGTGCTCTCTTGGGGTGGTAACCCTTTAGAATGAGGCCTCTGAAAGGAAGCCTTTCAAAGGTGTGTTAACCTAAATCGTGGTTCTCAACCTTCCTAATGCCTCGGCCCTTTACTACAGTTCCTCATGCTGTGGTGGCCCCCAGCCATAACATTATTGTCATTGCTACTTCATAACTGTAATTTTGCTCCTGTTATGAATCATGCTGTAAGCATCTGTGTTTTCTGATGGTCTTAGGCGATCCCTGTGAAAGGGTCGTTCGACCCCAACAAGGGTGGTGACCCACAGCTTGAGAACCGCTGACCTAAATGAACAGAGACAATGGACGGGGCTTGCTTAAGGCAAAGATAACGCAAGAAGTGTGACTGCTACCCTCCATGACCTGACCAGTTAGAACTTTAGGATGTATTACACCACCGCTCTTTTGTGCACTTTCTGTTCCCTGAGTGGGGCTGGATGATAGAAAGGATCCTTTATCTCTCCACAGCCCTCACCCAGGACCTCACTTTAGCTGTCAGGTAGCTGGGGGCAGGATGAGAGCTGACATCCTGTTCCTCCCATGAGGAGCCATGGCCAGGGGTGGGGGAGGCGGGAGGAGGGGGAGGCCCTGTGTTTTTGCTTGCAGCACCCCCTAGAGTTGGAAGGGTGAAGACAAGTCTTGGTTGAAAGACCACATATGATCTCCTTTCTTATCTGATTTTCATGTTTTCTTGAATAGCTATCTATTCATTTGCTGTTTTCTCTTAGGATTATTTCCAAAACCTTAAGTGGCTGTTTGCTGTTTCCTTGTTTTATAATAATTTTCATCTGCTGCACAAGAGAGTGGATCAGCCCAGTTCCTCATCATGGTCTTGTCAACAAAAGTTAGTTGCCACCAATCTAATGCCAATGGGAGTTCCCAACGTGGGGTTGGGAAAAAGGAGAGACTTTATTCAGGTGAACAGCTTGTAAACAGGGAAACAGTCTCCAGAGGATCAGAAAATGTGCCTTTTAAAGAGCAAGTTCCCTCCCTCCCCAGTGGCTGGCCCATCTTTGTGCAAATGGGGTATCCAAATTTGCACAGGCTGGTGGGGCAAAATAGCATTGTCCTGTTTGGCCACCTTTCTGCGATTGGCCAGAGTTGATGCAAATGAGGATGTAGTTCAGATCGGAGAGGAGATGCCAATCAGCACACTGGTAGACACAGATAGCAGGAACCTTTTATAACGGTTTACTGTGACAGGAAGCTGTGGTGTGGTTTTTCTCTGAATGCAAAGGGAAAGAAACAGCTCTGCTTCCTATAGCTGCTAGATGTTATATGTATTTGAACCAAGAAGGAGTCCTTCTTGGTGGGTATACGATTCCTTCACCGAGGTCAATACTCTGTTGGTATTATTCTTGCCACTTTTCTGTAAACTTAAATTTATTTCAAGAAAAGTTAAACATTAAAAATAAATCAAAGTAGTTATGAGGAATACATAGATTAAAACATGAAATGTTTGGGGGCCTGATGTGGCAGGGGACAGACATGGTGGGGATCTCCCTTTTCCATGTCCAGCACGGAAAGAGAGAGATGAACAAACCAGTTCTAAGTGGAGGTGGCCAGGGATTGAGAAATATTAGAAAGAAAGAAGGAAGACGCAGAAATAAATTTAAAAGCTGGGAGCTGGGTGGGACGTCCTTCTCTCTGATGGAGAGGCTGCAATGAACCTGAGCCCATGCAGAGCATTTATTTTATATCCCCCAAATCCAGGAAGTAACACCAAAACTTAAGATCAAAGAAACTTATTTGCATTCTTTATTTTTTTAATTTTTAAAAAAAATATATTTTATTGATTTTGTACAGAGAGGAAGGGAGAGAGAGAGAGTTAGAAACATTGATGAGAGAGAGTCATCGATCAGCTGCCTCTTGCACACCCCCTACTGGGGATATGCCCGCAACCAAGGTACATGCCCTTGACCGGAATCGAACCCGGGACCTTTCAGTCCCCAAGCCGACGCTCTATCCATTGAGCCAAACCGGTCCCGGCTATTTTTTTTAATTAAAAAAAATATATATTTTATTGAATTTTTACAGAGAGGAAGGAAGAGGGATAGAGAGTTAGAAAGATCAATGAGAGAGAAACATTGATGAGCTGCCTCCTACACACCCCCAACTGGGGATGTGTCCACAACTAAAGCACATGCCCTTGACCGGAATCAAACCTGGGACCTTTCAGTTTGCAGGCTGATGCTCTATCCACTGAGCCAAACCGGTTTCAGCCTTATTTGCATTCTTAACTAGGCCCTAGCATTACTGGATTTACATTTCTAGACCCGCCCCTGCTGACACCTGAACAAAGGTAAGTCAGAAACTGATTACTGCCCCTCCCCTCTCCCCCCCTCCCCCCCCCCGACTTCTTGTGGGGGGTTGGGGTGTAACCTGGACAGGACTCTGCCAGTGCCTGGGGCTCAGCTGACAATTTAAAGAATGTCCATGTGCCTTCCCAGGCGGCCCTCTACAGAATTCTGTAGAGGTGCTTTCACATTTGCTGTTTATGACTATTCCCATACACCAGTCAAAAGCACTAGCAGTGTTTGCTCATAACGCTAACTAGCCCTGCTTTATTTTTTAAATTTATTTTTTTGAAAAATATTTTATCGAGTTTTTACAGAGAGGAAGGGAGAGAGATAGAGAACTAGAAACACTGCAATCGGAATCAAACCTGGGACCATTCTGACAGCAGGCCAATGCTCTATCCACTGAGCCAACCGGTTTTGGCTTTAAATAAATAACCCTGGGCTACAGCGGTTATAATCAGGAAGTAGCACCTTGGCTGCGGCCCAGAGATCATTCAACTGATTGGGTCTCTGCAGGGGCTTCTGTAATAGTGAGGGGAAAACCCAAAAATCTCAAAAACCGCAGGGACCGGTTTGGCTCAATGGATAGAGAGTCCGTTTGGGGACTGAAGGGTCCCGGGTTCCATTCTGGTCAAGGGCATGTACCTTGGTTGCGGGCATATCCCCAGTGGGGGGTGTGCAAGAGGCAGCTGATCAATGACTCTCTCTCTCATTGATGTTTCTAATTCTGTATCTCTCTCCCTTCCTCTCTGTACAAAAATTAATAATATATATATATATATATTTTAAAAAAACTCAAAAAAAGAGATCATGTGCTCTCTTGGGATGGTAACTATAAGGTTCTTTCTCCTCCCAACTGTTGGGCAGAGTTATGACATTACTGGCATCTGTCAGAGAGACATCCCCAAGACATTGAGCCACCAATTAGCTCGAGTCCTGGAGCCCACGCCTTCCTGTTCTGCCCTGGGTCCAACCCTCTCCTGTTCCTCCCCTTAAAAGGACTCCCAGACCAGCCAGTGTTGCTGATCCTCCACTTCCTGGCGGCAGCCCGGCTGGGTCCATCCTCCTCCCCAACTCCTTCAATTCTGATGTCTCTACCTCTGTAATGAGTCCCGCTCATTACTGGGGAATAAAGTTTACTTTAAAATATCTTGGTGGTCAGTTTCCTGCGCCTCAACCCTTACAGTAACCCTTTAGAATGTGTGTTAACCTAAATCCGTGGTTGGCAAACGGCGGCTCGCAAGCCTCACGCGGCTCCTTGGCCCCTGGAGAGTGGCTCTTCCACAAAACACCACGGCCTGGGCGCGTCTATGTTGAAGAAGTGGCGTTAGTAGAAATTTAAGTTTAAAACATTAGGCTCTCCAAAGAAATGTCAATCGTTGTGCTGTGGATACGTGGCTCTGTGGACTGATGAGTTTGCCCACCACTGCCCTACAGGCGCAGGGACAATGCGCAGGGCTTGCCGGAGGGGTCTTCTGCAATCCCCCCGGCCACAGAACACGGGGCCCAGACTCAGGCAGGCCAGCGCTTGCAAAGGTTAAACGAGAGAAGGAAGCCCAGCCTCTTGCCGGGCGTTGCCAAACTGCCACGTCCTCTTCCACTTTGCTGCGTGTCTAGCATCGGGGAAGCGAAGCCTGAAAGGTCGCGGCGGTGGAAAGCCCCGTGGACCGCACGGTACGTGGCTGCCCTCCTCCATCCCTCCATCCCTCCATCCCTCCGTCCCTCCAGCCCAGGTGGCAGGTGGCGTGTCAGCCCGGGCGCGCTCCCGGGACAGCGCGCGGGCCGGGGGATTCCCGGCTGAGGGCAGGAGGGCGTGGGCCTTCTGGCAGGTGACTCTCTCCTGTCCATTCTTTCTCTCCGGTTTGCCTGATGGGCACTGGCCTGGGCGGAGCCCCCCGCCCCCCGCCCTCCTCCCCTGAGCCCACCCCCTACCCCTTCTCCCTCCCCCTTTCTCCCCGGCTCCCAACCGCTCGCCCGGCTCTCCCCGCACCCCGGATTGCCTGGAGGGCTGCCCGAGGCTGCGGGCATCCCGGATGCGGTCGGTCCGGAGCGCGGGATCCGAGGGACCCACGGAATCCACGGGACCCGGTCACCCGCGGCCGGCGGAGGCGAGCATAGCCGCCAGCTTGGGTGGCAGGGCGCCAGCGTCCTGTAGACATAAGATCGCTTTGAGCGTGGTCAATGCCCGGGTGCACTGTTCAGACTGGACCGTTTTCCTTTCGAAAAGCTGTTGCGAAAGGCTTTCTTTATTCCCCTTTTTTCTTTTGCTTTTCTGCGGCCGGGGGTGGGGGGGGTGGGGGGGGGGGGGGGGGGAGGCGTGGCTCATGGCCCGGGAGGTGGCTCATGGCCCGGAGGTAGCTCGGTTTGGGGAAGTTCAGAGAGATACTCTGGGTGCGAAGCCTTTGGAAAAAACACAAACTTGCTTGCAATAGTTTTTGCATGAAGGTGTCAGAAAGTCCTGTTCTTTTAGGCTTTCACCATAGGCCGGGTAGGACAAAGGGCATTGAATTGCAGACTGAGGTTCTGGTTCCAGGAACACAGTGTACTCCGTTCCAGGGACCGAAAGTAACCTCGAGGACGTGGAGGCTCCCGCCTGCATTTTTATTTAACTTTGAAACTTGTTTACCCAGTGAGACGCGGTGCCTCCGGTGATAACAAACCCAGTCCAACCGGTCTGTGGGTAAGGAGATTTCAGCTAAGAGAAACCACGAGGCTGTATTTTACCTCTCGTGGTAAAAAAAAAAAAAAGTGTCTCCAAAAAGAGTCTCTTGTGGAGAAGGATTAAAAAAGACTTAGCTCAACTGCACAAACAAAACCAAAAGGCTTTTGCTTGCCCTCCAGAAGTTTTCACGTTCGCGAACACTTGTTTTACTGGCAGCTTCTCGGTGGGATGCCTTGATTAAAATGGTTTTTTTCTAAGACTTCACTGCTTTATATTATGCTAGAAAAGACATTTGGGTTTTCATTTGTGTAAAGGATATTTTTATTGATTTCAGAGAGGAAGGGAGAGGGAGAGATAGAAACATCAGTGATGAGAGAAGATCATTGACCGGCTGCCCCCGGTATGCCCCTCACTGGGGATCCATCCCGCAACCCGGGCATGTGCCCTTGCCCGGAATCAACCCGGGACCCTACAGTCCGCAGGCTGAAGCTCTGTCCACAGAGCCAAACCAGGGCTGACATTAGGGTTTTTAATTCTTCCTCTTCTCCCCCTCCTCCTGTCCTTCCTCTTCCTCATTCTTTCCCCCTTCCTCTTTCTCCTCCTCCTCCTCCTCCTCCCCCGCCCCCTCCTCTTTAATTATTGTAATTTATCGCTAGCAGGAGGCCTTCTGGAATCAGAAACTAAAGTGTGTTTTCATCTTCGACTGTGGGGCTCCCCCAGCGGCGGGCGCCCACTCATGTCCCACTCGCGGGTGGTTTCCCGGGCGTCTCGGGTGGGCGCGCCCTCAGGGCGGCCGGGGTTAGCTCGGGGCTGGGCCCCAGCAGGTTTCGGAAGCCCGGCCCCAGGCCTCTGTGACGCTCGCCCTCACCATTTCCTCGTGCTCTCGTGTTCTCGGGACAAAGGCCGCCTGCAGTTCCCGGAGCGGGTGCGGGTGCAGCCAGGGGTGGTGCCTGTCCAGCGGAAGGCCTGCAGACCAGCTGGCCTGTGGCCGCCCGGCGTGAGTAACCCGAGCATCCGCCGCCCTCTCTCCCGCGGCGCCCTGTGCAGCTGGCGTCCCCTGGACTCGGGACGGTCGGGGCACTGTCCCCCGATCCGATCCAGGCAGGGAAAAGGGCTGTCTCTCTCGCCTTCAGCCCGGCGGCCCTTCCGGAGCCTCCTCCAGACTCCTGCAGCACTCCTCCAGGTCTCCTGTCGCTTCTCACATCTCCGGAATGGCTTCCGTCTGGCTCTTTCTTCCTTCTAGGGTCCCAAAGGCTGGTTACACTTGTGTCTGAGGCCTGACATGCCTCCTCTCCTTTGAACTCACTGTAACCCTGCCCATATGTGTGGAGCTTCTCTGGGACGGGCAGAGCTCTGGGTGCTGGGGACGCCGAGAGATGGATTTGAACTTGGCACCTTCCCCCAAGCAGCTGCCAGAGTGGTCGGAGGAGGCCCAGCCAAGTTCCCTCCACAGAGAACTCGATGTCAAGCAGCTAGGCAAGGGCCACGGACAGCCTGGAGTACAAAGGAGGAAGCCAGGCGGTGGCGACAGAGCTGTCCACTGGGACTTAACAGGGGTCCTTGCTTTCCTGACTCTAATCAGGGAGGGATGAATACTATCACTATGGAAACGCCCTGTTTCTGCTTTATATTCAGCTCCTGTCACTCCTCTGGAAAGACTTCACAGCCCACCTGGGGGCCAGGGGTGGGGTGCGGGATCATCTCCTCTGTGCTTGCATCAATCCAGGGGCTCTTTTTGCACTTTACACAGGATTGCAGTGTATTGTCATAGTTCCTTTAAAAAAAAAACTTTCCAGTCAAGTTATATTAGAATTATGTAGGTTAAAAATACTTGCAGAGAAAGCCTCCGGAGTCCATTGCCTAAGATAACCAAAGTGTACAGCCTAGTGCTATTGTTTTTTAGACATTTAGGCACTCAAATACAAGCTTGTAAGTGTTTTTAAATATGTGTATGTATTTTCTTATTTTGTATGATGCTGTTTCTCCAACTGCATTTCAGAACCGCTGGTATTTTTTTTGTTTGTTTGTTTTCCTTCTTTTAACTATTAATAGTATGTAGTTTAACACTGGAGTTTCTTCTTTCAATTAATATGTAGTTTAACTCTGGAGTCTCTAATGACCACTTTTCTTCTTTTTGAGAAGGTGTGTACCCACAATTAACATTTCATTAATCTGCTTGGTCAGAAGCTGGAATGTGTTTTTGGTTTTTTTGCTCCCTCCTCAACTATGGGTTTAGAGAAATAATTTTTTCTTTGACTTCTTGTGCATACAAGTGAATGAACAGACATATGTATTCATATATGTAATAGGTATAGCCTTGAATCTTTTCTTTCCAGATAAAACTGCTTCCTTCCCTCACCCCCACTTTGTACCGTGTGTACCACGTACTTTGTACCATGTTTCTCTGGTGTGGTTTTCACTTTTAGCCACTTTGTCTTTTCAACCGTTTAATTTTTTGTGCAGAACAGACAAAAAGCTTCTTCGTTGTTTTCCTCTTATTCTAGATATTGGGCTGTCATGTTTAGCATTTCCCTACTTATGAAAGAACTATGCCCCTCCAATTTGATACCACATTTACCTGCATATTCAAGATAGTTTATGTCTTCTGCAGTGAACTCTTCATTTGGGGCCTGTGGGCTGCCTTGAGTGCCTGCCCCCTCATAGCAATTGGTCAATTTGGATATTAGGGTTTTATTAAATAGGTTGAGTAAGCCATTACACCTGGCTTTATTTGTGGAGTTATGTAATGATGATCAGTCAGGACAAGGCTGAGGAGAATAAGCTTGGCAGGCCTAATGAAGATGAATAAGCAATTAATCTATCCTCAAGGATCTTACCACAGATGACAGGTGCCCAAACTAGAATAAAACAAATGCCAGGCAAGAGTAAAAAAGATGGAACAGGAGATGACCCGATTTTGGGGCCAAGACAAGCTTACGGAACAGATACCTGGAAAGATGGGAGAGACTTTCAATAGGCAGTGACTGAAAAAAGGGGAAGGAGCTTTCCAATTGGAAGCAAATACTTGAGCAAAGATGTTGGGACAGGAGAACACTGCCCAGGGAATATTGAGATTTTTATATGTCTTGATTTAGATGGTGGGTTGGACAGAGGCGGAAGATCCTGTTAGGTGTTTGGGCTCTGTATGAGAAGTTTGCCCTGGCAAAAGTTTAACTTTGGGTAAGAAGGAGGGGGGCCACTATGTTAAGCAGATTTAGCCTTCTTGTCCCTAGTGACTCTGCTTATGTTTTTGTATTCCATTAGATCATTCATGATTTCTTTTTGATCTAGATCCTTTCTCATTCTGTGGTTCTTTCATTCCCTTGTTTTATGTAGCCTGCATGCTACTGTTATGAACCAGGGAAGTTATGGGAAGTAAGGAGATGCTGGAATTTGTGGGAGCTCCTCTGGGAGTCATGGGGCTGAGCCTCACCAAATAACTTTCTAAAAATATACCTTTTAATTTTATATTATTTTATATTTGAGGTCACCTATTGTTTGTGGGCAATTTGCAATGATTGAAATGCACTGCTTGTGAAGCCAAATAATTTTTAATGTGTGTTTTTAGCCACTGATGCAAATTAATAGTCAGTGACACACCAAATTGGAATGTGTTTATGCGTCAGCCTAACTACGCAGTCTTTTAGACTATGTTTGGTAAGTATCCTTGGCATTTCAAGAATTCCAGAAATCGTGATGAATTACAAATCTCATTTACTTTTCAGAATTATTTTTATTGATTTTGAGAGAGAAGAAGGGAGAGGGAGAGATAGAAACATTGATCTGCTGCCTCCTGCATGCCCCCTTCTGGGGATGGAGCCTGAAACTCAGGCATATGCCCTGACCAGGAATGGAACAGGTGGCCTCTTGGTGCATGGGACAACACACAACCAACTGAGCCATACCGGCTGGGCCACATCTCATTTTAAATATTTGCAGGGGGGTGGGGGAGGCACAAAATGGCATTTTATAGTTGCAGGAGGAAAGGGGGGCTTATTGTTTCTGTGCATGA